AAATTAAAAATTATCTAAAACTATTGTGAAATTTTTTTGACCTTAATTACTTTCTTCTTATTTCATGTCTTCAAAAAAATATAAACATTGAAGATTATTATGTAAAAGAGGTTTTTAGTTGAATATGTATCTTAGAATTATGTCGTTGATCATAGGGGTAATTTTGATATTTCAAAGACAAATTGATGTATTGTTTTTCTTACTATAAATCAAAAAACTATTTTAAAGTTAAATATATAAGGGAAAATTTTCAAAAATAATACAAACTTTTCAAAAATAATATATAAGGGAATTTTTTTTTTTATGGTTATTTTTTTTCTTTCTTCTTTTTCCTTCTAAATCTTAGCTTGTAGATATATATATCTTTAATATTTGTGATTAAATTTCCATTTTTTAAATGCAAAATTTTCCTTCTTTTGTTGTATCACTACAAGAAAATAACTTTTTCGTAGCGATTATTTTAACCTTTAGTATCGATTGTAATTGCAACAAAGAGCTTTCCCAACGAATGATCATTCGATACAATATCCCCCGTTGCCTTAGCCTTTAGTAGTAGTTTTCAATATCGATGGGGTTGGCCTCAATAATCGATACGAAAAACTACATCCAATCGTGGTGATTATTGTGGCGATTACAATCGCTATAAATGTTTAACTCATTTTCTTCAAAAAAAAAACATGCGTATGATCTTTACAAGTAGGGCTGTGCAGAGTACGGTCTAAACCGCACCAAACTGCAATTTTGCGGTTTGGTGCGGTTTGCGGTTTGGAAATTATGGTGCAGTTTTCAAATTTGACCAAACCGCGGTTTTGTGGTTTGGTGCGGTTTCAAAAAAATTTCAAACCAAACCGCACCGCAAACCACAATTTAATGCAAAGACTCTTATATGGAAAGAATACTCTTATATTGTATTTATATGTACTGAATTGTGTGGGTCATTATTAAGAAAACCAAAGTTTTCCTTTCTTATTACTCTCCGTTTCTTGTGCTTTGGAGTTGTAATGGAGTGGTTGTGGTTTACTTAATGATTTTGCTCCATGTTTGCCTTGGCATGTTACTAGGTCACTATTAACATTGAAGTAAAGCACTACTTCTTTATTGAATTATTTGCATAGTTGTACAGTTTCCAAGTAAAAATTTCATAACAAAAGATTAGCAAATAATCATTATTTGTGAGGTAAAAAAAATTATGGAAAAACCGCAAACCGCACTGCACCAAACCGTATTTTGCGGTGCGGTTTGGTGCGGTTTGTATAGAATTGAGGTTTGGTGCGGTGTGAAAAAATCACAAACCACAATTTTGCGGTTTGGTGCGGTTTGAGATCCAAACCGCACCGTGCACAACCCTATTTACAAGATTCGAACATGCAATCTCAAACTCTTATATTAAATGGTTCACCAATAAGCTATGACATATTTTATGTATTCTTTGTCAAACAATATTTATATATCTAGTGTTGAAAAAACTTTTCATATCGATTTTTAGGATTTAGTGGCGATTGTAAATGATTCGATTTCTCAAAATTATATAAATGTGTAAAAATAGTGTGGATATGTATTATTATGTTTTCCATATCGATTATATATGGGAAAACCATGGCGATTGTAAAATGATACGACTTCCTTAATTAATTCACAAACAGACTTGCATATTGTAGCGAATGTACAATCACTACGAAATAATCGTTACGAAAAGACATTTTTCTTGTAGTGTATATTAAATACGAATAAGTATATAGTAGAAGAAGTTTCCTAAAAAAAAAGGTAAATAAGATTGTTTGTGTGTGATTCTTATTAAGTATAAGAAGTTTATATCCTTTAAAAAATAATAGGAAAATTTAATAATAATCCAACTTTTGCTCCATTCTCCCAAAATGCACCAACCTTTAATCTTCTAGAATAAACACAAGTTTGTATTTTTTTTCTCCCATATTAAACCCAAATGACTTGTAACCTGAACAACCGATCATTTTTTTATTTTCCATTTTAATTATCTTTTTAAATTAAAAAATTAACAAAATAAAAACCAAATTTAAAACTCAGACCATCGCAACCCTCCTCCCTAACCCACTGCCAGCCACTCCCCCTTCCCTCCCCCTGTCAGCGCCCGACGCCCTGCCCACCCGCAGGCGCCGATGACCTTACCCCTCCCTTTCTTCCTCTTCCCCCCTACCCAAAATCGCTGAAGCCACCCTAAATGGATGATTTGCGATTTGTTAGGTTTTGCGATTACAGGGAAGTTGTGGTTTGGTACAATTGACGCGTGGCAGCCAAGTGAAGCTGGATGCAGGATGATATGGTGGCCGGATTTGTGGCGGTGAGGATGTAGTGCAGTGTTTGGTGGCTGATTTTGGTGAAGTAAAAATTGAAGGTGAGAGGACAGTTGGGCGATGGCGTGAGGTGGTTGGTGCGAGCTGCTTTGTTTAGGTGCAATGGAGTGCAACTGTGTAGGGAGCAGGGGATCGGAGTTGCGCGAGCTTTAGTTTGTTGAGGTGCTGCTTATGGTTGGGTGTTGGCTGCCGATAGGCCGAGGAGGGGTGGCTAGTAGGGAGTGGGGCTGGGAGGGGTTTTTTTTTTTTTTTTTCTTATTAATTGATTTAAAAATTAAAATAATTAATTTTTGTTGATTATCAAAAAAAATAAAATAAAAATTAACCAATAAAAACATGACACGTGGATTGCAACCTTGTATCACAGGTCAAGTGACTTGCTTGGTTTAATGAGAGAAAAAAAATATTCAAACTTGTATTTATTTTGGGAAAGTTTAAAGGTTGGTCCATTTTGGGAGAGTAGAGGAAAGGTTGGTTTGTTGTTAGATTTTCCTAACGAAAAAAAAACTCAATGATTAAGTAATTATATGTTGCCAAAAGTCCCAAAACATGTACTCCCTCCATTTTTAAATACTTGCTCCATTTCTCTTGGACACGCATGCCGATGCTAATCTTTGATCACTAATATCTTTAATTATCAATAGGTATAACTTCTAACAAGTGAAAATTAATAATCTATTCATTGAGATGATTCCAACAAGTACTCACACGACTATATTTTTTCTTATATATAAATCACAAACATTAGTCAAAGTAGGATAAATGAATAGTGCAAAAAATAAAAATGGAACAAGTATTTAAAAACGGAGGGAGTATCTTATATAGACATATCCATCTATAGAATGTAAAATATTATCACTTATATTATACGGTTACTTAAGACAATTATTATTATGTAATGGTTTCCTAAAATAAAAGTTTCATAAAATGGAAGGTTTTTTTTAAAAAAAAAAAAAAAAAAGTGAAGACATATAAAAATTAACACGTGTTATTGATGATGTATTTTTTAGTATATACGAAGTATAGGGTATTGAAACTATTGATTTGTTTTACAAAGATCATTAAAGCTGAGGGTAGGCCGAACGTTAGGCCAAAAAGTGGCCCATGCAAATTTTTCCTTAACGATATATGCCCACCGGTAATGGGCCATGCATGCCGAGGACTTGTTCCTTTTCTTTTTTCCTTTTAAGCCCAATTTATTTTAGTATTCAACTATTCAAAATTATCAACAAGAAAAATCCATAAAACTTGATACCCATTATATTCTCAAAAGATAAATTCTAATAAACGTAGACACGTAGTATATGCTTATAGGCTTATAGCTAGTCAAGCCAGTCCTCTTCTGGGTATAACTAGTTTAGTTTGGTTTAGTTGTTTAGGTTGGAAAAAATTCAATTTATAAAATTTGTTTGATTTTGAAACTCACGGTGGTTGGGGTGGAGCGTTAGTGGCTGTTGACCACTAGAGAGAACGGTAAAAAGTTTTTTTTGAAAGAAGTCCTAATTAAAGGACGCTAAATTTCATTAATATAAGCCATACGACATCTACAATTGACAATGAACGATAATGAAAACGAATTTAACAAAATCAAACAAGAATTAATCGGGGAAAGGCTAAGAATCCAAATACATAAACATAACAATTCGGCATATTCTCGATTCGTTGTCTCATACAACTTTTTGAGTGGATCCGTCATCGCTTCACAATTTTGTGAGAAAGTAAATTCTTGTGCTGATTCCGTAACCCGAATATGAGCCATAATCAATGGTAGCCCCGCACAACCGGAGATCAAATTAAGCGCAAATAAAACCTTGTCTTTCGAAGGAGTCCGAAAAACCTTGTCTTTCGAAGGAGATCGAAAAAACCTTGTCTTTTGAAGGAGATAAACCCTTTCTTTTGAGGGAGACATTATTGTAACCTAAACAAAAAGCTTAAAAGAAAAATAAAGATTGGGGCTTTCCACCAGTGAAATCCGATGGAAGCCCCTTTAAAATTGACAATGGAGACTAGATTTAGGAGAGAGAAGAGAGAAAAGGAGGCTAGGGTTTTTTTGTTGTTGTTGTTGTATTTAAGTATAACGGTAAAAAGTTATGTGTATAGTAAAAGTATGAAATTGAGGTACAATTAATTATTTTTATAATCGTTATTATAAGGATAAATACGTAATTTTATTTTATTTTACGGGCGTTAGTTAGATATTTGAGGGCGATATTTAACAACCCCTTAATTTATTTATTTATTTTTTTTACAGGATTTAAGGTGGAGAAATAAAATACTCATACCAACATCCTACTATTAAACCAACTCAACATCGAGTCAAAATTATATCTATTTGCAAATTTATATATTCTCTCCGTGATTTAATAAGTGTTACAGTTTGACCAAACGCGCATGTCGAGGCACGACTTTGACCATTAATTTATCTAATCATATGTTAATAAAATTATAGGCTAATTCATATTATGAAAGTATACATTATAACGAATCCAATAATGTATTATACAATATCATTTGTTTTATATATATATATATATATATATATATATATATACTAGTGAATTAATCAAGTCAAAATCATTATGTGAATATATAGTGGAAAAAGTCAAAATATAACACTTATTAAAACATAGAGGGAATAATAAAATCATCTTTAGTAACCCTCTAAAACAATTGTCTATTGATCAATACCCATTATTCAACTTTCATATCTTAGCTTATTAATCCATTCTTTTTACATCACTAATCACAAATTTGCGTTTGAAGTAGAGAAGGCACATATTAAAATTATAATTTATGCGATTATCCCACAACAATAGATGTGATAGCAAATCAATTAAAAACAAACAAAGAATCACATTAAGCTAATAAGGACATTAACCTACAAAGACACAAAACTTACACAAAATACATGCAATTTTTACAACCACTAGTACAAGTTTATTCTTAGGAACATTATTGACCATTCTCCATGGCACCGATGAACCAACCTTAGGTAGCAGCTAGCTAACTAATTTTGTAGGTCATTAAGGTTAGCCTGTAACGTCGTGGAACGAGTTAGAGCCTCCCAACCGGCTTGCGTTGGGTGTACTTCATCCCAGAAGAAGTAAGACTTTGGGTCTTGGCATACTGTGTACATCTTATTGCCCTTATCATCAACACTTCCACAATAGTAATTTTGATTAATTCCCGTGCAACATGGCTTCATTAAATTGTCAAGATTTGAATTTCCTGCATGAGAAGAAACCAGATTATAGTATTAGAGGTTTAGATCTTGAATTAAGCTAGCTAGCATACATGTTCAAACACTAGGCATTCAATTTATTTCACTTTCGACCAATCCAAGCTTGGTCTAGTGGTAAGGTTTATCAGCACACAACCCAAAGGTTGTGGGATCAAACCCCACTAGAGGCAATTTGAGGTGGGGATTCCCTTAACCCCCCTTCACTTCCAAATTGTCTAGCTCACTAACTTGGGTCGGATTGGACATGTGAGAGGGTTGGGCCCGAGAAGGCCCTTTTCCTTACCATAAAAAAAAACTAGAACACACACAAATACAGTCACTCTATCAACATTTCACCCTATTAGATGTCTAACTGTTAAGGATATGATAAAGTCAAAATACATGGATGATCATTATTTAAAAGTCTAATGATTACATAACTTACTAATTAAATTAATTAAGAAAGTGATCTATTACAAGGAAACAAAACCTATTTTCTATCATGAAAAATAACATAAGGAGATATAATGAAATCAATTAATTATAAGTGATCACATACCTTGTTGAGTTCCTTTTTCTTGGAAGATCGATAAAAAGGCGTTGTATAAATCGATTATGACAACAGGGGAGCCATGATCTTGAGTAGTTTCATTGTTTAACTTGGTAACTGCTTGTTCTAATAAGAGATTATGGAACATAACAGCCTTGTTGAAAGTTTCATTGCACCTTTGGAATGAATTTTCTTTTGTGCTACGAGGTAAACATCCCAAAGGTTGTAATGCTGTCACTGATATTTTCTTCACTCCTAAATTCTTGATGCGTTGAATATCAACCACTAATTGACTTACCACTTGTGGGATAAACGTTTGTAAACCCTATATAAAAAATATTGAAATAATTAGATTAAGATTAAAAAGGGATGTTAATTCATAATTGTATATAGTCTAACATGCATAAATTCATTTAAACAATGACAAAGCTAAAATGTATTATATAAAACGGGCCAAATTAGGTATGGTAAATGATAAAGAGAAACATATACATTCCTATACTATGTAAAAATCGTGGGATGAACAGGTTTATATAAATATCGATCAATTGTTCTAGGCGTCCAACAGGTATAATAAACGTCGATCTACATTTCCACCTAATATGCAATACACTACAAGAAAAAAGATCAAATTATCATTCTCCATTGTTTAAATTATCAGTTTTTCAAAACAATGGAAATCCATTAGGTAGAAGAACATTCAAGCAATTGAGCATCTTAGATTGGGAGCAAGCTCAATTATATGTTCTTATGAATTGTCAAGTACAACTATTTGTGCAGTAAGTCATCAATATCATTTTATTCTTTTAATCATTAATTCATCTTTATCTGAAATACCACTAACACGTATATGATTAACAGAGAGTATGCCTCTATTGGAGGGCCAAAACCAAGTGTAGTTGATTGGTTTCAATCACGAGTAAGTGTTATGTCTTGATGTTAAGGTTAAGGTTATGGTTATGGTTTGAAAGTGTTAATACTCTATAATGACTTATTTTCATAGATATGGAATCTTCATATGGAAGGAGATCCAAGAATAACAACTGAGTTACTATCATTGTCATCACGAGGCCTGAGTAAAAGTGTTAGAAGCTATCAAGGATATATACTATGTAAATGGGCATCGTTTTCACACTAACAACCGTCAAAGAAGGCGAAAGACACTAAATAGTGGAGTAGTTGTTAAAGGAGATGAAGAGAGTGGAGAGAGAGACTTTTTTGGGGTTTTAAAAGAAGTCATAAGAGTTGGAGTATGCCGTTCCAAATGGTGGGGATAAGGAACCAATCGTGGTGTTATTTAAATGTGTTTGGTTTGATATTTATAGGGAGGGGCGAGGGATAAAAAGGGACAAGTTTGGCACTATTAGTGTCAACATTAAAAGGTTTTTACAAACCAATGAGCCATTTTCTATGGCATCTCTCCTAAGTTGAGGCCTTCCAAAGGCAGGTTTGATAGGTACCTGGACATACATATCAAGGGGCATAAGAGGCATTTCGCATGAATTTACCCATCTCTCTCCTCCTTTCTCTCACCCATGTGCTGAATTTAAGTGTACTAATGGGTGATTAATAGTATCACTAGATGATCAAATAGTATCATTGAACATTCAGTGGTACTATATATTTATTCAGTGGTATTAGCTACGTGTAGAAATAGTATCACTACATAGTCAATGATATTATATAAGCTTTCAGTGGTACATTTAAAACTGGTCCCACGTGTCCATCTCTCTCCTCCTTTTCTCTCATCCCCATGTGCTTTACAATCCTCCTTTTCAATAGTACATTAGTACTTTCTCTCCCAAGTTGGACAAGTCTATTACGTAAGGGCACATAATGAGCCAAATACATATAGACATTATAGTACCTTGTTTAAAATTTACTCCATGTAAAGTTTCTCGTGACATGTACTCCGTAGTAGTCCAAAAAATACGAGTATAATCCTAATTGAAATGTTATGTTCCTTAAAACTAAATTGTCTTTTTCTCCTTTTAGGCTTTTTATATATATCAACACTTCATACTCGTCAACATGACTTCATAATGTTCATATAAATCATACCAAGGCCTAATTGAAATACTTAAAGACTAGTTATGCCGCCCAAGGCCCAACAATAAAGGATTAAAGGGTTATGTTAATTTAAAATGTTACTAGTAGAAAACTTATTAATAAGCAACTCCAAATTGCACGCAAAAATTTTTCCCGTCAAATTGCGTGCAACAAATGATGTTTAATTTCAAAAAAAAAAAAAAAAGGTTTAATGTTTTAATATGAGTATATAATTTAAGAAAGAGATTTCATAGCTACCCTGCATTTTTAAACAAATAATTATGATGAGTTGATTACCTATGCGTGTAAGTAAAAGAGGGTGAATTAAGATTGAAAGCACAGCCCTACCCTAACATATAATTTAATATACTTGTACATTTCATTCCTTTATTAATTTGATTATATTAAAAATTTTGCTACATTTGATTAAAGAGCATGTAATTGTGAGAGTGAGGGATAGCTCAATTGGTTAGAGCTCTCATCCCAATTTCAAAAGATTTTGGGATATGATCGATTTTAATCACCTGCCTTTGTAGATCTTTAAGGGTCTGTTCATATTTACTGATTGGAGTCAAACTGAACCGAACTAAACTAAACTGAATATTTTATGAGAGAAAGAAATTAGGAGCTGAATTGAATTGAACTGAACTGATTCGAGCTGAACTGAACAGTCTCTAAGCACAATATATATATATATATATATATATATATATATATATATATATATATATATATATATATATATATATATATATATATATATATATATATATATATATATATATATATATTTATATCAGTAGATGCACTTGGCTAGTTGCCTAACTTGGCTTATAATTATGCGTACACGTTACACGTAAATGTAAATTAGAAATTTTGTCACCTAAATAACAAACTCCATTACGACCTTTTGCCATACCATACGAAAGACAACTTATTGATAATTGAGAATGTAGCTATAACAAGAGAAAAAGTTGCATATTTACCTGATTGGTACCACCTCTAGCAAGGAAGGCTGAGTAGTCATTACCAACAAGACTAACATGAGCAATGGAGTGTTGAAGGTCGGAAGGTGTGAAAGTGTCTTCGTTTAGAAGACGTTCGAAGAAATCGATTTGGGTTGTCATGTTAGGGTAAGGCGCCGTTGTATCAAAAACACCAGTGCCTCCGTAAGCAAAGTTCATTCCATTTTTCAAATGGTTGTTTGCATATCTTCTAAATTTGTAGGCTACTGGTGACCTTATTCTTAAAGATTTAGCTGCATAAACATTGAATAATCATGGAAACTAATTAGAAACGTGGTGTAATATTTCAAATAAATCAATTCAAACATGTAATGCATCAAAATTTTCTAACAGATAGAGCAACCAGGCACAATCCAAGTTCGCATGTCATCATGTCATGTCATGTTGTGCTTGCGTGCCTAAGTTAATTATTAGCTTTTTAGTGTATTTCGTTTGTATAAAATCATGTTATGTCAAATCTTATTGTGTCATGTACGATTTTAATTTTTGTTCTACTTGTCCGCACAATAACATTCATACCTTAGCTGAAAGTACGTTTTTTGTGTTAGGTCATTTCTCATCATCTTATCATGTGGCATTGCACGGCCTAATTAATATGATCTATAACATCTATTGCCATCTTTACCCTCATTGATTTTGAATTCGAAATTTTCAATCTATAAACCAACAAAGGAGGTTACTATACCTACAACTATATTATGCCAAAGGACACCAAAAATGTAACTAAACAACACTAGGGGATCGGTTCATGATGAAATGATTATGTACTAGTAGTACTACACACACTTTAGTTTAGTCGTTGAAAACCTCATGAAATAAAATCCAAACATAAATAAATGACATGGGACACATACATGACAAATCAAAGTAACAAATTAAAAATGTAACGATATAAAGACATAAAGTAGTAAGGCTGAAACACACCATGTTTAAATACAAGTATATCTGTAAAGATGATGAAGAATCTAAGGGACCCCAATAATACAATTATTTACAGCGTTAAAGATATAAGATCATATTACTAAGGACGTGGGTAAATAATAAAGATGGAATCTAACTCCACTAATACAATTTTATCTATCATACTTTAAAAAGAATAAGGACACCTACAAAAGGTATTATTGAAAATTTGGAACATGCTAGGAAGAGAGGAGCTCCAACTTTACCAACTTAAACACAAAAGATAAAGATACCACTATGAAAAAAAAGAGAGGGTATTTGGGTAGTCTTTTCTACTCTTTTGTTGACTAGTAATCATTTGTTACATTAACTTTATTGTTTAATTTTGTTCTCATACTTATCTCTTGGGAAATATGAAATAGTACAAAATATTAACAATAATAGACTTGATTTGAACCTGACCAATCTTAATCGGACCTGATTATTTTTAATTAATTTAAATCTGATTAGTTGGAGAGAATACACCCTAAAATACCTGAATTCTAAATTCTAATAGAGATTGGTGGTAATAAAATTTAACTTAACACGCACATAATTTTTTTAGTACTCTAATAGTTTAAAATTAAGAATGTTTAAGCTAAAAAAATGGTTTAACGTTTAGAGAAAAGCCAATTTTCCATGACCATTAGCATTTAGCAAAATAAAGGAAAGTCGTTATATAGTAAATTGATAAAGACATTTAATTTGACTTCACTTATATTAATATTGCAAACCTTTGTATTTAGCTAAAGAAGGTATTCGTATGTGATGTTTGTATATACACGACATGATTGACTACCGATTAACCAAGAAGTACGTTTCCATCATATTATTATATCATGATTAGTGACACTCATTTTGCTTAATAATATACTCAAATTCATATTTATGTCTTATTAGAAATTTGGATTTCAAAATAAAGCCAATGAAAGGGACTAGAGTGCTTGATTTAGCACAAGAATTAAGTATTAAGGAGAAAATAACATAATTGGTTAAAGTTTTGAGGGGTGATACCAAAGACTTGAAATTAAATTGCGTTTTTATCACTTACATTTGTGACTCTATCTACACTAAATAAAAAGTAATTTTAAGGAGTAGATGCTACATTTAACCAGCCTACATGGCTAAATCATAGTGTTTGATGAAACTAATTTTGCAAAGCTTGAAATAGAAAAATTGTAATAAACTAATAAAGGTTCATCCTTCATTTCAATATTTTGCCAATAGACTCCATATTATATCGCTTAATAGCATCTTCAATAAATTTTCTATAGTTTAGCAAACAAAATCAATATAGTGATTACTTGATTTTAACATTATGATACGTTTTAACAATTTTTTTTTAAAAAAAATATATATATAACTTAAAATAAGATTAAGAGAATAAGGCTTTAATAATTTATTTTGTAAAAAATTACCTAAAATAAGATTAATAGAATACTCTTATAAAGTACGAGTAAAACATAGAAAAAGATACTCATTCCGAACCTTAATATTTGTCTCATTTAAAATATGTAGTTTGTAGAAAAAAGTGGAATTTTGACCATTATTATTCATTGATGACAAAACAATTACAAAGTATATGTCACATATTATTGCTTAAAGACATGTAATTTAAAGGAATTTGTTTCTTATTTTTCTTTTTTTGTGAAGACATAAAATCAAATACTTGGATGACAAACATTAAGAAATGGAACTCTTTGTAAACAATAAATAAAAATTGGTATCATATTTCCTATTAATTAAGCTACTTTTGGCTTAATTATCTCAAATATAATAACTAAAAAACTACTACTAAAAGGAGGAATTTTACATGTGCAAGTTATAGGAAAGTTTTAACAAATAATAGTGCACCATTTTCGAAAAGGGATGTAACTAATTTGACACGTAGCTAGTTTAGAACAAGTATTTGTGTCAAAAATTATGAAGAGGACAGAAGAAAATGAAAAACGTACCAAGATAATCAGTGAAAACACGACCATCCGAAAATCGGCCTGAAGGTTTGCCAGGAAATGTGATACCATATGGAATTTTCCATGATTGGCCGTTTGATATTCTGTTATTTCCTGTATCCGCATAGGAATCTCCGAACACAAACAGCTTTTCGTGGCGCCGGTGGTGGTGGTGATGGTGGCGCGATGTGCTTTCTACCACTCCACTTCCTAATAATTAATAAAGAAAATTGTCGTTAGCGATAAAATATAAAATTAAATCCTGAGCTTCAACCATTAACTTAAGTTATTAGTTGAACGTCTCAACTAGTCTTTTAAGGGTACAACCCCTAGCCGTTGAGGTTAAGGTTAAAGCGTAATAAGGTTAAAAAATTTAGCTAAGGAGGTGAGAATCAAAACTCGACCTCTTGGTTAAGAGGTGGGAGCTCGACCATAATTGAGCTCTCACTTGATTCGCTACCAAACAAGATCGAGTGTACATATAATACAGTAAATATGTTACGTACGTACGTACCTAAGAGAAGGAAAATGGCGGAGCAAAGGAAGGAGAAGGCGAATTGTGGCGGACCCATTGTAAATAACAAAGCAATGAACGAAGAATGAAATGTATATTGCGATCGATGTTAGTTGAGGTCGTAAAAAAGGGGTGTGCTTTGAATCTTTAGAAAAGTTGTGTATTTATAGTGCTCTCTGAATTAAAGCCAAACCAAAGGAAAAAGAAAATATTAGTTGTATTCTGACCACACTTTGCTGTAGAGATGGATAAAGAATTTATTAATATCCAAATTGTCTTCTTGCACTTCTTGTTATAATTTAGATGTAACACTAACAATTACTTGTATATTGTTTTACAAAGTTATGTGGTGTAAATTCAACCATTAGCATTGGGTAAGTTGGATTACTTTTGTCCGATCAAACAAGTTAAATTGGCTTCACATTTTAATATATATGTATCATATTAACTCAATCTGATTCAAACAAGTTATTTTGAATTTGAGATATAAATAAATCAATTAATCTATTAACTATTACTAAAACAGAAATATGCTGACATTATCAACTCTCTCAAATGTATATTTGTCACTTTTACATGAAATTTTTTCCCGCCAAATGCACTTATGATGTCATATATGTTGGGGATTTACTTTAGTAATTGATAAGCATTACATCGCTTTATAAAATTAAGTACTTCCTCCGTTCTATTAATATTGCAACAAGGATGAAATTACGCATCTCAATCACATTTATATGCTAAATATCTATAATTGTGTAAGAGTAAAATTTGATATTGTGAAAGTATTATTTTATGAGACGAATCCAACAAGATCTCACATGACTATATTTTGTTTAAACGTATAAATTATATTATATAGTCAAATAAGAGTGATGAATAATGCAAAAAGTCCATTGTTGCAATATTAATAGAACCGAGGAAGTAATATTTTAGAAGATTTCAATAATAATTCAATGTATATAATTAGTATTGCTTAAAGAAATTGTGGGAATTAATGTGGATTGCATATTCATCAAATGTTATTAATTATGTAAATAGCGTATTTTATTCCTAATGTACATATACGCTTATTTAGTCCAAATTATACTTTAATTTTTAATGATGTAAGGAAAATGAGTTATGACCCTAATCACCAAATTATACTTTAATTTTTAATGACGTAAGGAAAATGAGTTATGACCCTAATCATCAGGCCTCAACACTAACAATTTTTTGGGCGATTATCTACAAATTATATGATTTGAAAGTGAGAGAAAAGGGTAAAAAATCTGCATATCACTCCCAAAGTGACATTAGGGCATGTTCACATTTACTTAATTTCACTTCACTTTAGTTCACTTCAATTCACCAGACCTTGAGGATACAAGATTTAACTCTTTACCATCTTAGCTAATAATAATTCATGTCATCTATACAAATAAATATAACTGTAAACAACACGCACCAATTAAAAAGAAAACGAGATAAGCTTAAGAGGAATAAAATCAACAATTCTCAAACAATAGAGTATTAAAAATTGCTTTCTATACTCTTTGTTAATTAGTAACATTATGTTTAACATTTTTGCATAACATACATAATGGATGATAAATTGATAATATATTTCATAAATAAACAATTTAATCAAATTGGTAACTCGGTGCAACGCCCGGACCGCACACTAGTTATATTAAAAACTTCTAAATTAAAAAGTATTCTAGTGATTGGAAAAATAAAAAAAAAATTAACAAGAAGTTCTAATTATAAGGAAAAATAATAGATAGTGAAAGATATATTGGTTGACAATAAATAAGGTAGTTGTACTCTAGTTCAATCCGTCACACAAGGGAAAATTTTGCATATCTACCCTATTAAGGTTAGTGAACCTTTAATTAATTAATTTAGTTATGTATTTTTATTTATTTATATATTTATTTATTTATTATTATTATTATTATTATTATTATTATTATTATTATTAGACGCTTAGGTTAGTGAACCTTTCTATAAAAATACAAATGCTTATAATTTTCCTACCGTATCAAATAGGCACCTTCATTTAGAAAAATGAATCTTATATCTCTCTCCTCTCATGGTCCCCGCCCAAACTTACTACTAACTTTTTTTTTTTATATATATATCTTTTCTCTCACATTATTACTTTTCAATAAACTATTAACCCAACTATCTTTCTTTTACAATTTTTTAATACTCCAACTACCCCACTTACCTCTTATTTTATTTAAGTCAATTAAATTGTCTAAAATTATGTGCCGGTCAAACTGTAACACTTAAATAAACACGGAGGAAGTGTGAATTTATGACTACAAACGAGTGCTTGTTGTGCTCATAGAAGTAATGGTTTTGTTAGAATTATTTATCATGTCTGTCATTGTTTGATATCCGGAAGAATTAACACTTTTATTGGTAAAGATTTATAATGGAATCCTAATTTTCAATTTTAGAAATTAAGTGGCAATAATGAGACGATAATTTTTTCACGACTATTAATCACTCGTATTAAATTTCTATCTAACTACTACAAAAGAAAAATTAAAAAAAAAAATCTCTCTATTTAACCGAGTCATTTCAACCAAAAACATCTTTTAGATAAACATGTTTTAGGGTTCGTACTTTGAATAGACCAACGGTAGTATTATGTGGAAGCTCTCAATTTAGAGCACTAATTTAAAAGGTTTGATTTCCAACTTCCTCAAATTGATGAGGTAGGGTGGCTTTGAGGTGAAGTACAACTTTATCACGAATCACGCGTGTGTTCCATATAAATTAATTCAACATGTGCTATATTAGCTTCGAAAGGCATTAGATTAATTATAACATAAATGTGAATTACAGTATTTTGCACATATATGCCTCATAAACTAGCATAAATAGTTGATAATATCTTGACCAAAGCCAAATTTTGGTCTAAAATAGGAAGTCAAAATATGAACAAGGCGCCAAGGTAAGTAACCAACTATCTACTCAATGTGTCATTTTGTGAAAGGTTCTAGGTCAAACTTTGTGGAACGACCGACTAATTCTTTCAACTCAAATATTCAAGTCTTGTTGTCAAAAAAAATAATTAAAAAAAAAGTCATCTTTTCTTCCTTCGTGCAAGTTGATATTAGTGTGCTTCGGTAATGCTATATATTATTAGGTCTATTACGTACTAATTTAGAATACTATCTTCCGTTCCGTCCACATATTAATTCAAAATATTAATACTACCTTCGTTAACGGTTATTTGCAACAAAAGGATCATGCGGGGACTCCTAAGCAAAATTTTTAAAGTATGATTATTGAAAAATAAGGCACTTGATTAAGTACTAATCCTACTTGAAAAAAAAACAAAACAAAAACAAATTAAACAAAAACCTATAACCACCGACACCTGGAACCACTAAACCCAAAACCACCGACAACCACCGGAACAACCAAACCCAGCGACACTATGAACCCAAAACCACCAGCGACATCCGACCACGAACCCAGCAAAAACCACCGAAACCCGACCACAAACCCAATAAACCACCCACGAACCCAACCAAAACCAAGAAAACCACCACCGAACCTAGCCAAAAACCAGCAAATTCACCCAAAACCGACGAAATGCCACCCACAAACCACCGAAATCCACCCAAGAATCACCGAAACCCACCCAAGAATCACCGAAATTCACCCACAAACCACCGAAATCCACCCAAAAATCACTGAAACCCACCCACAAACCACCGAAATCGACCCACAAACCACCAAAATCCACCCAAGAATCACCGAACCGTCACCCACAAACCACCGAAATCCACCCAAGAATCACCAAAACCCACCCTCGAACCACAAAAACCACCCACAAACAACAACTACCACCAGATCTACCAAACCTACCCACAAACCACCTACATCCACCCACAAACCACCAACATCCACCCACGAACTGAGATGAGTGATGATGATGGAGAAGAAGATGAGAGATAAGAGATGAAGGTCCGATCAGAAGGTCGGAGAAGATGAGAGATGATGATGAACTAGAGATGATGATGATGAAATGGAGATGAAGATGGAGGAGAGAGATGGTGGGGAGATGAAATTAAGATTAATCTGATTTTTTGGGGAAAAAAAGCTTAGATGATTAACTTAGATTAGGGTCATAATAATTTGTAATTATGTATGATAATATGGGTTAAAGAATTATACAAGACTTACTTAAAAAAGTGAAGTATGTATTAGCTATTCTAAAACAAAATATGCTGACATCATTAAGGGACACATGTCAAAATTCTTATTAAATTTTTTTCCGCCAAAACTATTTTTGACATCATGATTTGTTTTTCTCTATTTTTTAAAAAAGAATTCTTCCTAAGTTTATTTATTTATTTATTTTTAGTGAAAGTATATTTTTAAAAAAATTACTCCTTAACAAAGTATAGTACAATAGTTTTATCAATTTAACTATTTAATCTATTTCTACGAAATTTCATTAAGGCAATTTGAAATTAATGTGCTTTTCGCATTGCACGTTACACAATAATCCATTCATAAACACTACGAACAAGGAAAAAAAAAAGTTGTTTATAGTAAATAAATAATACTCCAGACATGTTTGACAATAGCTTTTGAGTAGCTTTTATTACTGCTTAATAAAATTTGAGTGTTTGGATCCAATATTATATCCGACTTTTCATTAGTCAGGATGGGACTTCAAGTCCCCGCTTTGTACCTTTATTGGTATTCTTTGGAGTCTCTGGTTATTTCGGAATAACAGGGTTTTCCGTTCGGATTCTTCACCTCCTCGACCAATCCTTTTGCAAGTTCTGGAAGTACTTCGATCACATACTCTCTTTATAAAGGGTGATCCTACTATTACACTTTTCCACACTCCTTGCTTAACTCCTACCTACACAACGCAGCCGGGCTTTTATGCAGCGCAATTGGGGGAATATGCTGCTACACCAAGGATGATTTCAATCCAAATAGGCGGTTCGTGGTTTGCAGATTCAAATATAGCAGGGATGGGTTGGTGCATGGATAATCAGGACGTGATGGATCAGAGGATTAGAGGCGGCAATAATTTTGGGTTATGTACTACGACGTTACACTCGGAGGCTTTAGCTTGTTTGTATGGCCTTCTGTTAGGGCCTATAATTAGTGTTTACATTGTATAGTTAACGAGCCTATTTCTTGCACCCTAATCACTTGTATAAATACTCTATTCTACACTCTAATGAAACTAC